GTGTGCACGCGTGGCAGGAAAGGATGCGTCGCCGCGCCGCCCATGAGGAATCAATGGCAAGGCTGACCGGCGGTAGCCTTGCCATTGATTCCCCGCGGGAAACCGAGACGTTCTGAGGGTAGACGAGGCGCGTGTTGCTGACTCGGCGGGCCCGCCGCTCTTTCGCGCCAAAATCGCTCGCTCCGGCGCCTCAGCATCTATATCAAACTCGATAAGGCTATTGAGGCAAAATAGAGTGGTGATCTGAGGACGAAACGGTGGACATTTGGTCATAAATTTCATACAACGAGAGAGCTCAAAGAAACATGACCAATGCGGCAATGCGAATTAAAGAAAATATTTACCTACTGTCTGCTAAATGACTCCACTTCGTCAAGAGAACAAAGAGTTTTTGAAAGAGCAAGACTAAGTTGGGATAAACAGGCCCGTAGAAACATGGGGAATAATTCAAAAACTTGACATAATGGGACTTCATCATGAAAACAACAATCTGCCAGAAGTCTGTCTGTGAAGAAAGTTTTTTTTTCTACATACTTAATTATGGCAACGTTTTGCCTTTGAACCTCCTGTTCCACTTCCAGTACGCGGAATGTGCACTTGAGAACAGTGTGCCTTTATTTTCTTCTTTAGTTCCTGGAATGAGTCTGGTATATAGTGGTACTCATGAAACATGAGCCCCCTCGCCCACTCCATATGATTGCAATACGTGAGAAGATGATGAGCAATGGTGAAAGGTCGCACAGACGGGCGAGTCTTCTCCTTCATGTCGTGTATCTGGCACAGCGCCGCTAGGTCCTCGGACAATACACTCGACAGAGACTGCATCACAGCGGGGCTGCTTGGCAGAGAGAAATAAACCGAATTGCTGCAGAGAGATGGCAAGCTCATGGTCGGGACACACAGGCATCTGTCACTGTTGAGAAACAAAGCCCGGCTACCAAGATTGCAGATGGGCAGCAGCTTCTGGCGCCAGATGTCCACCTCGAAGATCCTGAAGGCATACTTTGGGCATGCCCTGTCATCGTTTCCAAGCTGCAGCACGAGCATCATCCGCCCGGCAACCTCCACGAGGTACTCGCGGCATATCGACGGGTCGGCTAGCGAAGAGTAGGCCATGGAGATTTTGCGTGGAGGGTACACCATTACTATCTCCTCCCTCCACTTGGTGATCGCGAAGAGCATGCCTTGGAAGGGCAACAAGTTCTGAAGCTCCACCATGCCATGGTGAATGACCTCCCACCTCAGCCGGCCTGGCTGTGTCCAGAGCACCATGGGTCTCCAAGGGAAACGGGCCACCACTGAAAAGGGGGCCGTAGGTGAAGAGCAGACGAAGGCGCTCATGCTGAACAGAGCTTCTCGGTCCTTAATCGCACTGCGGAAGGCAGGGGCGAGGGGCGGGAGTTGGACCGTGGCGAGGGTGAAGGGGTGGACCACGCGGACGGCGGTGGTGCGCTTGTGCAGCAGGATGACGAGGCCGTCGGTGAAGCCGACGACCCTGTGGCACCGGAGGTCGGGGAGGCGGACGCGCAGGCGCCGCGCCGTGCGCGTGTTGAACAAGGTGATCTCGCCGGCACCGTCCAGGGGCGCCCCGTCTCCGTCGCAGAGCGCGATCCAGCCGCGCGGGCGGAGCTGCGGTTTGCTCAGGGCGAGGATGCCCAGGTCGGACGTGCTGGCGCGCCAGCCCGAGCAGACGGCGCGGAAGGTGAGGTAGTCCACCACGTCCTCGCCCAGCAATCGCCCGGAGACGAGGCCTGCGATGTCGGTCGGGAGAGAGGCCCAGCCGCTGGCCTCCTGCGCCGGTTCCGGTTCAGGGGCCCGCCGGCGCTTGCTGCCGGTGGGTGGGCGACCGGACGCACCTTTGCGCTTCCGCCCCGCCGTCGCGGCCCCGGACGGACACATTTCCGGAAGAAAACTTTCTCCACACCCGCACGGAGCTTATCGATCAGGCGCAGGACGAACAACAACAAAACGGGACAAGAGGCTCCTTTTATACTCCTTTGGAAAAACGAAATTATAGGATGTTTTAGGGAGAATTTTTGTTTTCCGAATAAGGGAAAGATGGTACCGTCTCGCCCTGTTGTTTCCGCGTAAATCCCTTCCAATGTATCTCGACCCGATCAACACGTCCTGTTTTTTAGTCTGTCGGACCAAACGTCGTCTGTACCGTTGATTGCAGGCACGAATCATAAAAGCAAAGGAAATCAACCACGTCAGCGTTTTCTTTGTTCGGAAAAGCACCGTGTTGTCCCGAACGTCTTCCTCCTCGCCAAAGCCGCACCTTATAGCAACTCCAAAGCGGCAACCCATTTTATCCGCGCGCGTTCGTTTAGACTGGGCGCGGACAGAAAAGTCGGTCCAACGCGCCGACCCAAATGGACGCCCATCCGTTTTTCGTCCGCCTGCGGACACATTCCCGGCCCGTTTGTAAGCCTCATTTGCGTCGGCACGGACACAAAACGGACGCGCGCGGCGCCTACCCCTCCCCCTGGCCTGCTAGTCGGTGGCACATTGGCTATCCTCTCCCATTTCAATAGCAAACCCTCGCCCGCCTCCTTCGTCAACGCCGCTGTCGCCTATTTTCCGGTGCCTCTGCCAGCTGCCGGTGCCGCAACATCCCCCCACGCCCTCCAACACCGCCACCTCCCACGTCGCTGCCACCGCCGTCTCGCCGCCGGGGCATCGAAAGCTTCCCACCCCCACCTCCCCGACACAACCACGACCGGGAAGTCGTCTTGCCGCCCTGCCAGCTCCTTTGTCCTGACACCGGCACGCTCGTCGGACGTCGGCACGCCAGCAGGTCCGAGGGCGGCGCGACTCCCTTCGCTGGCCGGCTCTTTTGTCGACGCCCGCAAGCTGTTTGATAGTTTGCCAAGGTACAAAATGGACTCCGCCGACGAGTTCTTTTTCCATAATTTCCTTTGCGACTCCGATGATTCCTCATCCGATGAGGAGGAGGAGATCTTGGTTGCCGTGTTGGTCCATCACCACCTCAATAGCCAGCGGCCGTTGTTCCGTGGATCCATTCTGGGATATCTTCCGACGCTGAATCGCAACCGAGAGAGTGGGCATTTCCTTCTTTGGAAGGACTACTTCGACACAACGAACCCGCTGTTCAAACATTAGAAATTCCGGCGCCGTTTTCGTATGAGTAGGCATCTTTTCAACCGTATTAGAGAGGGGGTGGTTGGATACGATGACTATTTCGAGTGCAAAGAGGATGCCCTTGAAAAGATTGGCTTCTCCTCTTATCAGAAATGCACTACAGCCGTCCGCATGCTTGCATACGGAGTGCCCGGTGATCTCATTGACGAGTATGTCCGTATGAGCGAGTCTACATGCCTAGACTCCATGTACATGTTCTGCAAGGCTGTGATTGTTGTGTTTGGCCCTGAGTACTTGAGAGAGCCGACTCCTCAAGATACAACTCGCTTGTTGGCGATGAACTCCAGCAGGGGCTTCCCAGGGATGCTTGGGCAGCATAGACTGCATGCACTGGGAGTGGAAGAACTGCCCTTCTGCTTGGCAAGGGCAATATAAGGGTCATGTCAGGGCTTGCACTGTCATACTTGAGGCCGTGTCATCACAAGATCTCTGGATCTGGCACTCTTTCTTCGGCATGGCCGGATCACACAATGATATCAACGTGCTTCAACGCTCGCCGGTGTTTGCAAGGCTTGCCGAAGGCAACAATCCAACGGTGAATGTTACCATCAACGACCACAACCTAGGTGACGGTATCTATCCTCAGTGGACCACTACTGTGAAGACAATTCTCAACCCTGTCGGAGAGAATAGGAAAAGATTCATACAAGATCAAGAGAGTGCTAGGAAGGATGTCGAGCGTGCCTTTGGTGTTTTTCAATCTCGATGGGGCATCGTTCGATATCCTACTAGGACTTGGAGCATGAAGAAATTGTGGAAGGTGATGACTGCTTGTGTGATCATGCATAATATGATCGTAGAAGATGAGCGTCTGGAATGTATCTACGATCAAGGGTTTCAGTTTTAGGGTGAGAATGTTGTGCCTGAGCATGGAGGAGCGGCAACGTTTAAGCACTTCACCCAATTTCATCATGAAATGCGTGATTGAGAAACTCACATGCAACTGCAAAATGATTTGGTCGAGCATATGTGGGCTCATGTTGGCAACCGATAGATGTATCCCTTTGATTTAGCTTGTAAAACTATGTGAGAACAATTTTAACTTATATTCGGGCTTGTAAAACTATGCTTTATATTTGGTTGTGAAAACTATGCTTCCCTATGAAACTATATATTTGCTTGTGAAATATGCAAAGTGCTCATTGAAAATGAAGGCCAGCCGGCCATGCCGGCAAATATGGGTCGGCGCGTTGGGCACACTGCCGACCCAAATCAAAAAGAGGATGGACACTGAGCGGGCGGCCGACCCAAACGTACAAAAAGCAGACAAATACACCATCCATTTGGGTCGGCGCCATGGAGTTGCTCTTATCCCTTCTTCTGTCCACACCGTCCCTTCACTCTCTCCCATTCCCCACCGCCCAACCTCTACACCCATTGTCGCCTCGTGGCCCTGACCACTCTGGCGACGTGCTCTCGCACCATCCCCGGTGACGCGCCCCCTCAAGACCCGTACGAGGCAGCCCACTCCACCCCGGCAACGCGGTCTGGTCCACCCCTACATTGACGGTGATCTCAACGGCGGCGCCGAGGCCAGCTAGTCTCAGGAAGTGATGTGTGGTGGTGTGGCGGTTTCTAGGCCTCGTTGCGACGCGTGGCCAGTCGGCCAGAGGGGCTCGCGCTCGACGGGCGTGGGGTGGCTAGTGCGCGGGGCTCACAAAAGCGCGTGGTGGCCACGGTGAGCGTGCTCCTAGCGGTGGCTGGCGGCAACTCACGGAATCGTCAGCTCCAGCGTGGAGGTCAACCATATGTTGTTGTGGTAATGAGCGCCCGCACTTTAGAGCATCTCCAGTTGTTCGGCCCCCCAGGGGCTTGAAATAGCGCCGCCCTGGGGGCGCGCCAGCTGAAAATCAGCTTGGGGGAGATTGGTTCCCAGCTGCCGCCCCCAGACGCCGATTTCGGCCCACTTCCGGTGCAAATTGGCCCACTTTTCAGCCCATTTTCGGCGCAAATTGGCCCACTATCGGCGCAAATTGACCAATTTCGGCCCATATTCAGCATGCTTCGGCACAAACTGAAAAGAAGCTATTTTTATCACATAGTTCATCACAGAAAATCAATAGAAATCAAATAGTTCAATACAAATTATATATTTCAACAAATAGTTCAATAAATAAAAACTCATATTTCATCACACGTCGAGCTAGGCGTTGCCCTTGAGCCTCCATAGGTGCTCCACCAGATCCTGCTGCAGTTGTTGATGCACCAGTGGGTCTCGGATCTCCTGACGCATATTGAGGAAGGGAGTCCAAGTTGCCGGTAGGTGGTGATCAACTTGGGCAAGAGGACCCTGTCTGTAATATGGTTCAGTGTCAAACACTGTCTCTTCCTGCTTGCTCTCAGTGATCATGTTGTGCAAGATGACATAGCAAGTCATGATCTCCCATGTTTGATATTTCGACCAGGTTTGAGCGAGGTACCGGACAACAGCAAATCGAGATTGGAGCACACCAAATGCCCGCTCGACATCCTTCCTGCAAGCCTCCTGAACCTTCACAAAGTGGGAGTTCTTGCCTCCTGGCACAGGGTTTGAGATAGTCTTCACAAATGTGGACCATCGCGGATAGAAGCCATCTGCTAGGTAGTATCCCTTGTTGTAGTGTCGCCCATTGACCTCAAAGTTCACCGAAGGAGAATTGCCTTCAACAAGCTTGCCAAAGACAGGGGAGCATTGCAGCACATTGATGTCATTGTGAGTTCCTGGCATAACAAAGGAGTGCCAAATCCAGAGGTCGTGTGTGGCCACTGCCTCAAGTACCACACTACAACCGCCTTTGGTGCCTTTGTACATCCCCTGCCAAGCAAATGGACAGTTTTTCCATTTCCAATGCATGCAGTCGATGCTTCCAAGCATCCCAGGAAATCCTCTTGCTGCGTTTTGTGCTAGGATCCGAGCAGTGTCTTCAGCATTGGGTGATCGCAAGTATTGTGGTCCAAATACTGCCACCACTGTCCTGCAGAACTTGTAGAAACACTCAATGGTCATGGACTCGAGTATGCGTCCATAGTCTTCCAGTGAATCACCGGGAGCTCCGTATGCAAGCATCCTCATAGCTGTCGTGCACTTCTGTAGTGAGGTGAATCCAAGTGTGCCGGTGCAATCTTTCTTGCACATGAAGTAGCCGTCGAACTCCCGGATGGAATTCACAATCCCGAGGAAGAGCTTTCGGCTCATCCTCGGTATTTCTCCAAAGAGGAAGGGATGATGCAACACAACAACGGTAGGTATTTCCCTCAGTGATGAGATCAAGGTTATCAAACCAGTAGGAGAACCACACAACACCACGTAAACAACTCTTGCACACAAAGAACAAATACTTGCACCCGACGTAAGAGAGGGGTTGCCAATCCCTCACAGGTAAAAACATAGGTAAAATTGTACTAGTAGATTGGATAAATACATCTCACGAGAACGCAAGATAAAATAAAAAACAATAAATTGCAGCAAGGTATTTTTGTAATTTTGGATTAAAAGATCTGAAAATAAAAACAAATAAAAACAGATCGCGAAGCCAAATATAATAAAGAAGAGACCCGGGGGCCGTAGATTTCACTAGTGGCTTCTCTCGAGAAAAATAGCATATGGTGGGTAAACAAATTACTGTTGGGCAATTGATAAACTTCAAATAATCATGATGATATCCAGGCAATGATCATTATATAGGCATCACATCCAAGATTAGTAGACCGACTCCTGCCTGCATCTACTACTATTACTCCACACATCGACCGCTATC